AATTAGAGAGAAATTGGATATGACCCTAACTCTGGACCCAAGAATCCGATTGTGAACCTCCAGCCAAATTAGGCATGTCCCCACACACGCTGGCATGTACGAGCAAACCTAGGGCTTGTTGCATCCTATTTGGCCCAATTGGCTCCATATGTAGGCCTAACTCGATGAGCTTGGTTTTGACCCAGCAGGGTTTTGTTTGGATATAAATTATAATCCCTATTTTAATGAGGAATAAATTGAGCAGATGAAAATTCCCAAAGCTAGCATGTGCTACATTTTCAATAATGGACTTTACGTAAAGGGTATCGAGAGTCACCATGAGCTTGGTGATTGGGAAAAAGATTAAGAATCACAATTTAAGTAGGTCAATTTCACTTACAATAATATATCGAGTTATATGTCAACTATATGTAAAACTCAACTCTCTTGCCATGTCATTATGAGAGGATTGTAGGTCTTAAATTATAGATCTGTGGCATTTCTCTTGTTGGTTAGGTTAACTACACGTAAAGCATCTTAGTGAATCCTTGCACCCTTTAAGGTTATGTTTGGTTAGAGGATTTGATTAGAGAAATAAAATGAGAAAAGTAAATGCAATACTACTTTTTGTCTTTTGAGTTTACTTAGGCTATTTTCTTTCTCCATTTCTCAACTTAACCAAAAATAACTTAGAATTCGAATCCTATCAAAACTTTTTTGTTTCCCCCCCCCCTTATTTCCTTCATCAAATCCTCTAGCCAAACACAACCTAAGACTATCACACAAGAGACCAAATGTGTGTATTAGACCAAGGGTAGTAAAATGGACCGAGTGCTATGTCTAAGGGATAGAGTTTCCTTAGGTTGTATTTGGTTCATGGATTTAGAGAGGGATTTGAAAAAATAAAGAAAAAAATGTGTGAAACTAGGTGAAATGTATGTATATTTTATTCACATGTCACCATCTTTTTTTCTTTCCCTTTGTAAATCTCTTTCCAATTCCTTCAACAAAACACGACCTTAGGAAAGTTGGTAGTGAGGAGCTATTGAGCGGAGTGGCCTAACATGCAGTTTCATAATCATTACAGATAAGCAAAAAAATCCAATTCGAGCACAGGCAAAGTACTGGATACACGAAATTCCCACTCGAACGTCATTTTACCCGCTCGAGCGTACTTCATGAACCCAGTATGTACGCTCGAGCGTGGAGTTCCCCGCTCGAAGCGTGAGTCAAATGTAGAATTTTTCAGAATTAATTCAAAGCTCAAAACTTAACTACAATTGCATCAAAATTCGATCCTTTTGGGCTAATTTTCTAGAAACACTTGTAAACTCATAATATGACATGTTTCAAAGATCAATTTGAGAAATCAAAGGCCCAAGGTAGTTCAATTAAACACAATTTCAATAAAACTTCAAGAACATGATGGATATGTAACATGCATGAATTTAATCAACCTTAGGTTTCCAATTCATGCTCCTAGAACCAATTCTTTCAAAAACAAGATGAAATCATGGACTTCAAACTAAATGTAAACATGCATGCAAGAATTTCCATGAAAACAACTTAAACTTCAAGATATGCACATGCATGCATGATTTAGCTCTAAATCAACATTTTAAGCCACAACTAGACTTCTATCACTACTATCACCATGGACCTGCTAGAACAACTCAAATACATAAGTGAGAGGATGAGTCTCCTACCGTAAGTCTTGAATTACAGGTGAGAAGCTCAATTTTGCAAATCTTCTACCAATTCCTTAAGTCTCTAGCCAAATCTCTTGTTGAAGCTAAGTTTTCTCTTCTCTCACTCTTTCCTACATTTTTGTCACAAAAAATGGCTGAGGAAATGTTATGGAGTGTATGCAATTGAGTTCCAAGCAATGGTACCTAAGTGGCCCACTAATGGCAATGTCGTAAATAATTGAAACTAATGTATTTAAACGTTTATTTAATCCAATTTAATCGCTCCGAACCGAATTTTTAATAAACCTACCATAAAATTATATAAATCCTAACTAGCAATCTCTCTCT